GGCTAAAATGATAAACATACACACAACACACCCATCAACGCAGTGGGCTGCAGTCAACACGTGCTGCTCGTTGAGGATGGAGCCTCCGCAAGTGTGTCCGCGGTCTATGTTCACGAGCGGTAGCCGACGCCGCAGAGATATCTGCCAGGGAAACTCGAGAGGACCGGCTTCGGCACCGCCCACGATGCGGTGGAAGTCGTGCGTTCGGCGAACGGCCGCGACGAACCCTGCGTCAGTCTCACTGCCACTGTCGTCTTTGGCTCTTGGGGGTCCGCGGACTCCACACACTGTAAAGAAAAAAAGAAAGAAGAAGAAGAAGAAGAAAAAAAAGGTAGTGGTGGGTGGGGGGTGGGCGGTATGCAAGTATGCGTATGCAGTTTTCCATTTGCGGCATGAACAATTTTAAATTGCAGCTTTTGAGCGTTTTTTTTTTTCGGGTCCTCTAAAGTGACTTTGAAGGGTTGGTTTATATGTTGTTCAAGAGTCTCGACAGAGTACCTTCAAGGTGTAGCTACTGGCGTAGCCATACACTCAGACTGTAACCTGAGATGATATATTCCCGTTGCTTAATTTTCGATGTACAATGCCATAGCATATACTAATGCAGGGGAGGATACACATAAATAAATATATATATATACTTACAAGGTTCGGCTGAAAGAATATCTAAACTAAGGATTGTCACGAGTAAAATGTGTATTAATAGAAGCATGGCTGTTAGCGCGACGAAAGTTGGCGAGAAGTATTTACTAAGATTCGAACTACAAGACTGAGTTTAGCGTTGTCTACTTCTGCATGGATACCTAACCACTGCCTGAGACCGCTCTATGGAATGAGGAATCCTATATGATAGTTGTTTAAACTTTAAAATTTATGCGGGCCATTCGTGTCCACTATGGGGGCTGACACGAAGAAATATTACCCCAATGAATGAACATTAAAGTAATATTGTAGTACCGTAAGCATAAAAGGTAATGCTTCTTTGTCGGTTGAGTGACCTTACTTCCTAAGACGAGTGCACCAGCTCTCAGGCACACGTGACCAACTTTTTTAAATTATTGTTTATGCCTCTGGAGATGCATTGTTGCGAGCCATATTTAATTTATTCCGAGAATAGTTTGATGACGTTCGCAGAGCAGGATGCGTTTTCTGTTCATTGATTTTACTTCTCAGTCAAAATGCTACACCTCCACGGGTAACCAGCTTGTCGCGTTATTCCTTCTACGGTTTTCGATGATACGATTCGCTATTGAAGCAATGTCTTACACTATTTCGCTAAAAAAAAAAAAAGTCTCGCGGTGTGAATTTATTATACGATTGAGCAGCTGCCATGACATTCGCGGGGTTGGTTATTTTTGTGTTTAGAAACTTGGGCTACAAACAAATTTGCGTGATTCTCTATCCATCGTTAATTTTATTTTATTATAAGAAAAAAAGATTTAATAGAAAAATTAGTAGCGCGACTGAGCATTTGAGGTGACGTTTGCGGGACGGGGCTTCTTGTGTTCGACGGCGTTTTGGGTTCAGCATATTCCCGGCTTAGTTTCACTCAAGAATAGCTGTGCCGTGAACTCAGACCTTCAGTGAGGTCTCAATAACGCATCCACGTTCTCAAGAAGGGAGTACCAGTGTATTTTGTGTAAAACGTAGCCGATACAAGAGACAGGCCCAAGCCAAATTGTTTGCCCAACTAAAACGCGAGCGATAAAAAAGAAAAAAAGGAAAGAAAATCAACGTCGAATAGACGATTGAGATTGCAGTAATAACTAATTTTCTTCTAGCCAAACAGTGATAAACAATGGCTGGATTGCCCGTCTATCCTTCCTCTCTTTTATATAATTACCATTATAGTATATCGTACCTCGAACATTATAGTACAGGGTGCTCCAGATAAAAATGTACAGGGTTTTTTTCACCGCAAATATAGGCTATGCACGGCCGAACACTCATTCCCCGGCGAAAGCTAGAGCCAAAGGTCCGAACCAGGTGCCAGAGTTTCAGTACGAACCAATATTTTATTAGAAAGTTATCAGTGATTTTTTGAAAATTTCATTGGGAAAATGGGGCTGGTTTTCGCCCCTTTCGGTTTCTGGCGCCATAGAACGCCATGTATTCGAGAGCTCCATCCGCTACCATTTTCCCATTGACATAAAAAAAAAAAATCATTTATAACTTTTGTGTAAAGTAACGGATGGAGCTGAAACTTTGGCATCTGTTGTGACCTCTAGCGCTACCTTTGAGTGGAGAATAAGCCTTCGGCGATGCGTAGGTTATTTTTGCGGTGAAAAAAAAAAATCCCGGAAATTGTTTTCGGGGACACACTGTATATGGCCAATAATTAACAATATAGTATGGTGACTGGAACACGTCTCCAGCTGTTGTGTGTACCGCGCGCAAAAAAAAAAAAAAAGAAGAAAGGTAGTGGTCTCTCGATTTCCCCGTGATGACGTCATACGAGTGTCATGCTGCCGCCGGTCGCGATCCTGGCGGTGTCCCAGCAGCGGTGGTGGATGTGGCCGACGCCTGCTCTGCTGCACGTCGTTCTCCGGTTTGTCAGACCACGGAAGCTTCGGCAGCCAGAAGTTAGGACGCCGCGACGACAGCGACACTCGCGTTCGCTCCTGCTTTTCGCCGGCGTTTCGACGATCAACCGCCAGGATTGCGACATCTGAACAGCACGACACTCCGGATTCTGTGACGCCATCATTTGTTGCCATATCGGGACCACTTTTGACGTATATGGGCGGGATAGGACGGTCAAGCACTCCAGACGGAAACGCGTTCCTCCAAACATTTCACAAAAACCCCGAGACTGGGACAAAAAGGGACGGACAAACACAAAGTCTCAATTGTTGAGACTTTGTGTTTGTCCGTCCCTTTTTGTCCCAGTCTCGGGGTTTTTGTGAAATGTTTAACCACCACCAGCTCGTTTGCGCCCTTACCTTTTGTTCCTCCAAACACCGGGATTAGTAGGGTGACCACCCGTCCCGCGACTCGCGGGACTGTCCCGCATTGAGGGCTTGTGTCCCGCGTCCCGCAAGAAATTCCCAAATCTTCAAAATGTCCCGCAGTTCATACTGTAGTAAAACTCACTCAGCCACTCATGGTGCTGCCGAACAATGGGGCGCGGGGAAGCCCGGAGGTCGCTGGTAATCGTGTGAATCGCAATGGTACGCCATTTTCTATTCAAGCACTACGGGAAGCGACCGTCGCTCTTGAAGGAGAACCGACGCGCATGCTCCGTTGTGCCTCTCCCCTTGGTGGCAAAATATTCTAAGAAAGATTGCTTGCCAAAAATTTCAATATAAAATATTGTAATTATTTTTAAATCGTTCTGTCAATGCAAAAGAATTGCTGTGGATCTTTGTTCTTGGGAACACAGCCACACAAGGCAAAAAGCCTGCAACTCCCAACGGTCGAAAAAGAACATAACGTTAAAACTTTGCGTATGACTATGTTGATAAAAGTAAGCGTTGACAGGAAATAATAACCCGAAAGAGATTTAATGTTTCTTATTTTTATCTGATGCATTGAGTTCTGCTACAGTCGATTTTTATGTTTTCAACTTCGACACATTTACTAACACATTTGCCATAAGAGATATATTACTTTTAGTAAAAATTTATTGAGCTTAATTCCTGCAATACAATTAGCAGGTGTATAAACAGCAAATGATGTTAAATGTATTAACAAAGCCTCGGTTTGTGGTGTGTGTGTGTTAATAAATTTCCTCTACCCCCCCCCCCCCCCCCCCCGCCCCCCGTGTCCCGCATTTCGCTAGCAGGAAGGTGGCCACCCTAGTGATTAGGGTCACTGACAACGTAAGAAACGCGGGGCGTGTCTCATTGTGTTCGCGCTTCTTGCCTCGCGATTGGCTCTGCTTCGTTCTTATCGCCTAATGCCGTAATATCATTGGCTATGGAGCGATGAACATATGTCTGGCACGACTCTCGTTTCTTAGGCAGTCCGTGTCGATGCGGAGCGCTAGTTTGTCTGCTTCTTGTGCTGGTGTTGCGGTGACGTCAGGGGCGCCGAGCTATGATTGGCTGGATTGGAAGGACATGCAGCAACTAGCATTGAGGTCTACCCACTATCCCTCCAATCAGAGCTAATTAGAACTTGGCGTTCTGAGATGACGTCACCGCAACTCCTACGCAAGAAGCAGACGAACTTGAGCTCCGCATAAGATTGAGGACGTACGGTACCATTTAAATTAAGCATTAAGTATACCTGAGAAACGTTTGCTCGTGGAGTGTGGAGTGCATGGCCATAGCTTCCTCTATTAGCGCCGAGATATTTCGGTGGTGCCCTCTAATGGTTTCCATCCGTGACGTCACGACTGGGATTTGCCTCGCCGTGACGTCACCAGTTGTTACCCTGGCTACTTACCACCAGGTGCGACGATGAGTTCGATGGTGTGTTTAAAAAGCACAATGGAAGCTAGGAACCATTGCAACCGGAACTTGCACTGTCAAAGTTGACAATCTGAGAATGCTCGCTCATATGCCCATGGTCAGGCCAATCATGATGGAAAGCTGACCGCAGGGACGCCTTTGGTCGCACACATCGCTACGAGACGCGGCCGCCGAAAGTGAAAAGGTAGAGCGGCAGACAACGGATGAGAGGAGTCATGTAACGAGCGCCCCGCTGCGGCGAGACGCCGAAACACACTTCTTCCGAGCGATGCAATCTCTGATCGTGCTCCTTGCGCCACCACTTGTTTTCTCGTCGGGTTTGAAAAGCATGTTTTGGCTCCTCGCCACTGCAAAAGCTGTGCGGTGACGTCCAGGTTCCCCGAGAAATGCTCTGTGCTACCAGATCCTCGCGCTCCAGATCTGCGACCATGGTACTCTATGGCTCCGTCGTTGAACTGCCAGGCTTTGTGAGTATAGAGGAAGCTATGATATAGCCCGTGGCAGCCGTTGATCTGAAGCGCTGCGATTAGCAGCGGCGAGCAACTGTCATATTCTGGTGGCACCACTTTGTCTTCAGGTCTGTTCTTAACTTCTTATACCTCGTGTATACGCGTTTGGAGATTCGCACGCATTTGCACTCAGGATCAAAAATGAAGCAGCTCACGTGAATTCTGAGAGGGAAAAAGAACGTCTCGACTACAGGCTACACCTGAAAGCGTAGATTTTGTTCTGAAGTGTTTATTTCGGTTCGCGCAGGGGGCCCCCCTGTCATGTGGTGATCCCAGCGACTTGTTTAATCCAGCCCACTTGGGTAGCGATTCTTGCGAAGACGCTGGGCAGCTTTACCCCCGCGAGCGTGACACCCCAGGACGTGGCACCGGCCAGGACATAGCGGCCGTCAGGTCTTGCACACTGCAAGGGTCCTCCGGAGTCACCCTGCGAGCGCAAACATTCAAATCAATAAATCAAACAATGTTTCTTTTTATTTGTTTATGTTTATGTCTACGCTAAATACATACTCTACAAAAAAGGTCTTTGAATTCCCTTTCCTGCAGAACACGGTGACAGTCAATCATGGCGGACAAAATACAACACTAATACATTTCAAGAGTCGTTCATCCCCAAAACTTCTGTGTACGGGAACCACCTTCTGGCACCAATCGTCACAATTGTCATTGATAATATATTTAAAACTGCCGCTAGTAATCTATATACTTTTCCGGCCGATTACCGAAGTGTACTAGCCCCCACTCCCCTGTGTAATGCCAATGGTCCTGGGGGTATTTTAAATAAATAAATAAATAAAAAGATCCTAGCCAATGGCTAGCTCAAAATACAATTATATATAAAAAAAAAGATACGCCATGCGCGTAGGGACAATAAGGAAGTGAAGCGTCATTCTCACTTTTTCTGAGCACATCGCATGTTTTGAACCTAACCGTATCCCGAGCTTTACCATATGCTGGAATGTTTCTATAAAAAAAAAAAAAATCATTTTTGCATAGGGGGTTGTACAACGAGCTCGGCGCACGCGCCGTAGCCCTCTCCTGCGAAATATCGGACGTCGCGCATCTGTCCAAAGCCCAGTGACTCATCATTTCTTTTGCCCGAATGATAAGCGTTGGAAGACTCTTAGAGTATACTAGTATGAAACATTAGCGTTAGGTGGCCCTTCGGGAACGAAAGATGAATTCTACTTTCCTTGGCAGCCCCCTTGCCGCTCCCAACGAGACCCGCGCAGATCATGGTGCTGTCGTGTACTTGGTTGACGCCCTCATAGTATTCCCTGCAGGCGTCGTGCGCCACAATGGGCAGGTCTGCTTTCTGGAGCTTGGACGGCCGATACACGCCTCCCTCACTGCCTGCACAGGAGAACCATGAGCTCACGTATCGAACTGGCGTAACAGTTGTTCACGCAGGAAACTATAGAGTGGCTACCCAGTGACAGCCGAAGAAATAACGCAGAGCGGGGCTCACTATGTGCACGCTCTTGCTTCGGGAGTTGTTTTTCGGCAGCCTTATCGTCCAATGCCGCAATATCTCACTGACTGCGGAGCCATAATAAAAGGCTCGGGTCTTCTTAATCTGCATGTCGCTACAGAGATTTATAGACCAACTGCTTTATTTTTAGTAGACATGGCTCATGTATACATCACGTACCATCAGCGGCCATTCTGGTTTCCTTGCTGCTAGCGCGTATCTTCTGCAACGCACGTTTCGCACCATCGAATTTGTTTTTTTTATCGGAAAGAGTAGGAATGGCCACCAGCATGCTGCAATGACTCCACGTGCAAACCATGTATACTTCGTTTGACATTAAGCCCGACCGCCGATAACGCCAGGATCGCGACATACCAGTCGAAGACGGGCTCCAGGCACCATAATCGGAACGCCCGCAGCATTGGCGGCTGTCGCACCTAACGTGAAACGGAGTTTAGTATGTGGCATATAAGAAGACCGGGAGAGTTTATTGACCGTTTCTGGCCAGTCCCCATCCGCTCGCAGTGCAAGTCTGCCCTTCGAAGCTCTGGTCCTTTTGCGGCAGGCAGATAGGCATCATGTGCCTGTGTCTTCCAGTGAAGTTCAGCGGAGCATTCAGCTTCAAAATTGCGTAGTCGTAGTTCAACGTTTTACTGTCCCAGTTTGGATGTGTCGTGATCTAAAAAAGCAGAAAAAAAATGGCAGCATTCTTTATCTTAAAAGTCCTATAATTCATAAAATTCATTATAGGAATTGGTCAGGCGTCACGTGACGTCACGTGAGGTATATTTTTCGCTAGATTTAGCGAAACATGCGCGGATGGGCGGACAAGTGTTTGGGAGGGGGGTAGCGTTAAAATGCCATTTCATGCTTTAAAAATATCACTCTTATAGTTTGTTACAGGTGACGAATACTAGCAGGACGAATTCCTCCCACAGAGACCCCAAATCTTTCCACTTAGCGGACGTTGAAGAGAGGGAGAGTGAAAAGGAGAAAATAACCAATCATGGCGAGCAGAGAGCTTTATGGGAGGGGCTTGTCCCGCTGCTCTAAACGTGCAACTGACTGTAATTGTACCAATCTACTAGCTTTGTATGGCTGAGTACGTCTTCATCGGGTGTACGCGTGTTTGAGTTCATGGAAAGGGAGGCATAGCTCTAAGTTTTTTAGGGATTGTGTCAGTTTTTCGGTGTTATGGAACTTCATGCTTCAGCCTATCTCTGAGATGACGCCAGAATCGAAATACTGCCCCCCCCCCCCCCCCCCCCCCCCCGGCCCTTGACTCAAGGGACAGAGATGAAAACCAAACGTTTTTATCTGTGTCCGTTGACTTTCTTCGAGCGACAGACTTCTCACACATCTTATAGCAGCTTGTAACTGTTGACTTCGCTCATCCTTCACGAAAGCACTTTCTTTTCCCCGTAGTATACTGTTATTCGAACTATTGGACCTGCATGTTAACTATACTTTAGGGATGCTTTTAGGAGAGCAGCTTCAGTTTGTCTTACCTGCAGCTAGCCTATACATCGAAAGCCGTACTGCTCCTATCGCGAAGCGATTAACCTCGCGGTATGTCTTGCTGCGACCTGCTTAGGGTCACCGAATAAGCCTTACGCTTCAGAGTAACGGCATTTCAGCCATCTTGGTACTTAGAAACATCGTTGTTACTTATCCGAAGCTTTATTTGATATTGTAGGAAATAGTCTTCGGTCTTTCAGAATAGTTAATATAGCATTCAACAGTAATACCATATTGCCTGAGCTTCCTTACAAAGTATCTGAAGCTAAGGAAGTCGCATTTTCGAATCGTAGCGACAACTAATGGCGCCTGCTCTGCACAAAGTACCAAAATGGCGGCGCGCACAAGGCAATCGGGAAATGAAGTGCCGATACTCTCTAGGAGTTGCCTGTGTATATCCGCCCACTACTGTGCACGTCTCGAAGTACTTATGCGCGTGTCAGAACAATATACCACGTGGTTTATAACCGGTTTGTCTCAGATCTGCCGGCTCTAGTTTGTGATATAGGGCGAATTAAAAAGTTATAACCTCAAGGCACGAAGTTTCTGTTTAGGCTTTCGTGGACTTTAAACAGGTGACAAGATGTACAGCACCACATTCTTTATACAAACAGGCGCATACACACAGCGTATGACGACTGGCGCAGTCGTCGATTTCTTGAAGAGGAACGCATATGTGTGCACTTGCCGTTCCACAGGAAGCGCTGCCACTTGATGTCAGAAACATGATTATGCCTGTAATACTGCGATTACAGCGGCGTTTAGGAAGATTCATGACTGAGGCTTTTTGCCTCGCGGGCATGAAAAAAAAAAAAAAAAAAAAAAGGCCGCTGCACACACTGAAATTATAGTTTGGCTTTGAAAAGGCGTCACCGAGATGGCCAACTTACGCTTTCAACTTTGCGACTTTCTTCAGTGTCGTCTTTTTGATGGACATTCTGTTCCCCGACAATTACCCTGAACTTTGACGGAGATGCGGAAGGCCTGAAAAAAAAAAAAAAGAAATGTCCTTTTGGTTTTGCATTTAGGTGACCGCGTTTGCATCAAGCATATCGCAAACGCAGAAAACATGAAAACCTAGTCAACGCGATGTTTACAAACAAGCCCGGGTTTGTCCACAGCAAATGCGTGCACTGAGCGTCCGCAGACATGTCATGTCCCCAAACTTACCCACCAACGCAGTGTGCCGCTGTCAACACGTACTGCTCTCCGATGATGGAACCACTGCAGGTGTGATCCCCGTCTGCATTCACCAGGGGCAGCTCACGGCGCAGCGATATCTGCCAGGGAAACTCAAGCTGCTCGGCGTCTTCACCGCCCAGAATCCGGTGCACACCTCGTCTCTTAGCGCCAGAAGCAGGGACTGGATTGGTTCCGCCTACGTTTCCAGCTTCGCCGACGCTGGGTCCTCGAATCCCACACCCTTCCGATGGTAAAATTCAATGAAAATGCGACAACAGCTGTTAAGGTTTTTAACGAGCAGCCCTTTGAAATACCTCCGCGCCTACAAGATAACTACACTAATACGCAGATCCTTCCCTAAACGCAGCCCCAGTTACTACAGAGCGGGGGGGTTGTGTCAGCGCAATGCTTTCTCCCCTCCGCCCCATTCCGCGTGGCGCAACCCGATTGGTCGTGCGCGATGACGTCAAAGCAAGAGTTGCTCTCCGTTCTTAACACTCTTTCCTATGACCTGGCTTTGGTGCCACCAGCACCAACGTGAGGAAGCCGTGTAGGGTCCGCATATAAAGCTATATATTTAAAGATGCAATAATTACTCCATAATTTCTGTCCGCACGACGATTCAGCGCCGAAAGTTAGCTGTGAGGAGGATCGAGTGGCTGTTGCAGGCTCTAACAGCTTACCTATGGCTGAAGCCAGGCGCAGGGGTACAGCTGATGTCCATAAATTGTACCAGTTAGTAGCTATTGCAATACAAAGGTTAATTCGATTCCTCTCAAACAAACATGTTAGTTTGGTGGTGTGTAGTGGTGTGCGACATAACCTCCTAGTTTAGGGGCTTGTTAGCAGATGAGGCCACTGTGAACTAGTGAATGCTTTCGAGACAATCGCAACGTTTCCAGAAAAGGCAACCTCTTTCGGCGATTATTCCAGCTGTGATATTAGCTGTTATAACATGCCAGGATTCCGGTGTTTCAATATCTATGTAATCGGCATTTTTTGCCAGGGTGGAAAAAGAATCCCGTCGCGAGCTCGTCAATACAATGCATAGCGTGCAGGACATGACGTCATCGCACTGTAGTCACGGTCATTTCTAGTTGTTTTTGATGAGAAAATAAACAAAACAAATTCGGTGGTGCGGAGGTGTGCGATGCAGGAGGTACTACGCGCTCGGGAGCAAGGCCACCAAAATGGCGATGTGACGTCAATGCAAGTCACGTATGGACCATACGCAGTTTACAAGCGAATTCACGAATGCTTACACTAAGCGTGGCAACTGCGCGTGCGCGGAAACCAAATGCAGGTAAAGTGAATCGCATGCGCATTTGCCCGCCGACAACAGCGCCTGCGCAGTGGTGTGGGGACAAAACCGCGCGTTCGTGTATACGGATCGCGTACAGCTGTCCTTTTTTTTTCAACGAATATATATACACGAAACCTTACAAAGTGTATATGTAACATGGGCAACGTTAAGAGGGCGCGGTACCTCTATTTATTCGTCCGTTTCAGCCACCAGATGGCGCGCGGCTCGAAACGTGGTTGAACGCGCAACTTCTAGATGGCGCCAGTATCGAGGTGTGAAAAGGCCCGCGTTATCCGCTGCGTGAAATAGATCCCGAAATCTGCCGTGTTCTCCCGGCGGAGGAAGTTTCTGCATCCCTCGCGCGCGCTTGGTATGTACGCGCGGTGACCGAGTCCGGCCTCTGCGCTGTGTGATGCAGTGGGTGGCGCTCGTTTCTGTTCGGAGGTAGGAATAAAAATGCCGGTCCCCTTTTTTACGACGCTCGTTTCTATAGCTGGTTTTTCTTTTTTTTTTTTTATCTCAAGTGACCTACAGTACCGCCTGTTCGAAATCGTCCTTTGCGGTGAGCGATTGAGAGTCAGGTTAGCATTTTATTTGGGTCAGCACTACACGTTTAATGGAGACCTCGGGCGGCGATGTAAATATGCATTGCTTCCCAAAGTGTGTCCAAGGTGCGCAATGACAATTGGAAAGGGTATTGAAGGCGCGCGACCGTCGGTTGGTAAAATACGTGCGTTAGATTCACTTATTCAGTTTAATCATTTTTGCCAACGTCTTTTATCTGTTTCGACAAATGACATGGTCGAGTCTATTGATAACCTTAGCTAGATTGGACGTACGGAGTGTCCGGGCTTTAAATAAATTTGCTTCGTTTATGTGAATGAATAACTGTTTTCTCTTTTCCGTGCTCGGTGCTATGCAAAAATCACTGAGATGTTATGGTAGCTCAGTGTGGCGGCGTTTTGCACGCTGACTCGCTATTGCATTCGCTGTGCACAATATGTGTTCAGATGGAATGTGCCAAATCGTATTTCCGATCGATATGATAGATTTACTTTGCTACAGTGTTAATTATATTTTCCTGATTTAAACTGGTTCGTCCCTGATCTGAGCCTAAGTTTAAATTCGAAGGGCAGACAGACTTAGCGTCGTAACAGCCGTAATGCGCAGAAAGAAATTAGTACCATGAAAGAAAAACAAAAGGATACGAGGTGGCTCAGTGTTATAGAAGTAATGAGTGTGCAAAGGATGGGATACGGTCCATTCGTCACATGCACACTCGTCACAGGGCGATTGGTCACAGGACGATTCGTCACACAGGAACATTCGTCATAGGATGACTCGTCACGCGGCCAACCGGTCTCACAATAGTTCGTCCCCCCAAAAATGTATTGTTCAATTTGGTTCGGGCGGACAAAGGCGAAGAATTTGTAAGGAACGTTTTAGCTTCTGATTCGGTCCCGAACATTGAATGTTGGTTGGGCCTCAGAAAGTCGGTCACCTCTTATCTTAGCATGTCTTTCGCTTCTCGAGGTCAAAGAATTTGTAACAGACGTTCTAGCTATCTGGGTCCGTCCTGAACGGTGAATGCGGAGGCCATAGAAGAGCGACTATTTTTGAACTACATTCAAAAGGATGGAGGTGATCGCAACAGAGAGAGCCATGATGCTGCACGAGGGGTACTCGTACACATTCGGCAGAAGGAATTCCGATACTTGTTGGTTTTGTCGAATAGGTGTATGCAAGGCAAAACTAAAAACTAATTTGGCTGCCAGTCGGATTATTGCTCGTTCAAGCCTGCAACTGAGATCAACCTGCTGAAGACCCGTAATATAATGAAAGGAAAAGCGGATGAGTATTGTAATATTAGTTTATATAACCATTGGTTTACGTGACAGTGGAAAATTGTGAAACTCCTCATCAGGGTATGTAGGCAGATGTTGAAATTTACAATTTACTATCGTCCCCTGCTCGATCAATGAGACCAGTTGCCCGCATGACGAGTCATCCTGTGACAAATGTTCCTATGTGACGAATCATCCTGTGACCAATCGTCCTGTGACGAATGCGCATGTGACGAATCGTCCTCATCCCGCAAAGGATGCCATCGTACGTGTTTTTTTTTTTCTTTTTTGTTTTTTTAACTCTCCGCATTGCTGGGAAACGCTCAAGGTACCAGCAAAGACAGCGAGCTGGCGTGAAATTTCCATCGAGCGGAAAACGAGTGTGACTTTTATTTCATCATGCGCTTTCATTTTGATATGGCTCAAAATGGGCGCGAAATAGTAACAGGTAAGGCAACAAAATTTAGATGTTAGGTCTGGAGCACCGCCATACTCAGCCGTGTTGGGGGCATCTCTCGCGAGTCAATACGGCAAAGGTATTGCGAGTCGAACTGTACGTGAGAGTTATCCATTTCAGCGAAACCTTGATTTCGCAAAACTATTGTGGCTCGAGTCGTGGCTTCCAGTACTTGAAAGCCACGAGCGAGAAATAAATGACAGTTGATTTTGAAGGACAATCGCGACGTGGAAACCCATAAAAGAGAGTTCCAATAAGACGAGAGCTTCCCCTTCTTTTCAAGTGCGTGGGTTACGCTCTCAATCCTGCACCTGTGGTAACAACGCAGGCTCCTAAAATGGCTTTGAAAACGTTCCTGATCGCAAAAACTTTTTTTTTTTTTTTTTTTGTCGAGGCGCTATTTTATTTTTTTTTACTTTTTGTCTACCTTGATACCCCATCAACGCAAAAACTACCATAAACTAAAAAAAAAAAAAATAGTGGGCATACAACGACAACGCACCCACTGGGACCCGAGTCAAGGGAAGAACAACTAACTACTAAAAGGGGAAAAAAATCATGTTCGCATACACAGACAGAACGCCTCCATCGAAAGAAATGAATCATGCGCTTGTTCTGCCAGTCTCGTTGTGCGTCTGTCAAAAGCCACAAAGGAGGAAGACAATCAGCGCCTACACCACTCCCCTCCACTCCCCCCCCCCCCCCCCCCCCCCCCCCACCACCCCTAAAAAGAAGAAAAGAAAGGTTTCTTGGGCGCGCGCGCGATGACCTTGGAAGGGTATGCGATTGTAGCACGTTTGTCCCCCGGTTGTGCCCCTGTCTCAAATGCCACGGTCCGTTTCTCCCAAGTGCCCGTCTTATCTTCCTGAGTATCAACTCCGCAGTGATTCTGAATCATTCCGATGCTTTCCAACGTTGCAAAACTGTTAGACGAATATTTGCACAGAAGTATACACCTTTCCAAAAAACACTCGACCCCAGGGGCAACAAACCGTTTGTGAGCCCAGTCACTGAGTTTGAGGCTAGACTCTCACCGGCGTCCCTCCTAACCCTAACCGAGTGGACTGTGATTTCAATAGGCGCAGACTGCGTAGGCGCAGTTTCAAACTCTGCTGGCAGCTAAATTCTCGTCTTTTTCCGCTATATTTTGTGTTTCATGGTACATGTATGTTCCCGAGGACATTGAGAAAGCATTGTGCCAGATCTAAAAAAACAACAAAAGCAAAAAAAAAAAAAAAAAGCTGTAAACTATTTTTGTTGGGTACGCGCGCGACAGAGCGAATGCGACTGGAATGTATAGTTCTAGTTATTTGTTTTTTTCTTACGATAAGCTTTGACGGCGCCGCGGGATTCGCCGCATGTGAAACGACAAAGCGCTTTGCTGTCAAAAATAAATTGCAACAGAAGAGGGCCGAAAGTCATGCATTTTTTACGCTCACAAATAACGTGTTTACCGATGGACAGGATACGGACATCCCATTGAGGAAGTGTTAC